CATTAATTGAACCGAAATTATTTGACCGTTAATTGAACCGAAATTTATTTGAAAATTGTTAACCTAATTTTTTTCTTTAACCATTAATCGAACCGAAATTATTTGATCGTTAATCGAACCCAATTTTATTTGAAAAATATTAACCAAATTAACCGAATAAAATAATTTATTTTTCTTTAACTATTTAATCGAACCAAAATTTATTTGAGAATAATTAACCGAACCAAATCAACCGATTTTTTTCTTTAACCATTAACTGAACCGAAATTATTTGATCGTTAATCGAAAATCAAAATTTATTTGAAAATTATTAATCGAATAAAATAATTTTTTCCTTAACCGTTAGTTGAACCGAAATTTATTTGAAAATTATTAATAAAATCGAATTAACTGAATTTTTTTCTTTAATCATTAATCGAACTGAAATTTATTTAAAAAAATAAATTGTTTAATTTTTTTGTCATTAACAAACTTTTGACATGTCAAACATAAATTGTTGTAAATTAAAACTATTGAGGAGTCTTGGCCCAATGATTTAGGCGTATGGTTACTCCTCTCCACCCACAGACACAAGTTTGATTCTCCCTGAGCGTATCTTTGTCTTTCTATTTTCCATTTCAATTGGGTGGTGACACGTGTCACCACCTGATTGGTTAAAAAATCATTTAATTAAACAATTTAAAATTCATAAATAAAACTTTACAATCATGTATTGACACGTGTCATGTTCGAATTGTATATTTAAATTTTTTTAATATAATTAAAATAATGACTAAATTGATAGAATATGTAAATGTTAAGGATCAAATATATAATTATACCAATTTATTAACAGACACGTCACCACATCTGTTAAATATTAAAGGCGTGATGGTCTGATTGAATCAATTAAAAAGTTTTAAGGTCTGATTGAGACAAAAAATAATTCGGTAGTCATATTGACTTTTAACCTTAGTTTGGTGGTCTCCCGTGTAGTTTACCCAATAAAAAATGCAAATAAATAAGTGAGAGAGAATAGTTTGAAACTTTAAAGATTCAAGTCGGTTTTAATTTTTAAACCAATTACTTTGTGGATAAGTAAGTGTTAACATGTTTTTTTATTATATTAAATGAGGGGTTATTCTAGAATATTTGGTGGTGATGATATTTTAATTTCACGATATTAAGAAATAATAAAGGGCGTAGTTTGTACTTCATTTAAGTACATTCAATTATATTTTTTTAATTAATCTAAAAGAATTATAGAGTATTATTTATATATATTTCATATATATTAATTATACGAATCAAGAACAATCAATTTGATTCTTAAACTCAATTGAAAAAACTAATTTAATATATCTATCATATTATGAATTATGTCATACATCATTGTAAATTATTGTATCAATATCCTAAATCATTAGGTTGGTATTATAAAATAATATATCAACATAATAATAGTCAACAATAAAAATACTTGATCAAAGAATTACATGATTTTTTTTAAAATTTAAAAGTCACGTTAAATATAAAAATAATTCGAGATATATTTTTTTTTGAAAAGTAGAAGTATAAGCCTTGTTAGGAAATATATATATTACAGAAAAGAAGAATATTTAGGCCAAGAAAAGTTTCTTCTAGAGTGAAGGAAAGAGAAAATCACTCTTCTTCACACAAACAAGGGCAAAGGAAAAGCCAGAACAAGAAAGAATTTGAGAGTTTCATTTTGATTGGAAGCAAGCAAAAGGGTTTCATTTTGGGGGAGATTCTTTCCACGTATTTAATGCATCAGAAGAAATCGGAAGTTCAGATCGGAAAAGAAAGCAGCGGCGTCGCTTCCGATTTTAATCCCAAGCCTTCGGCCGTTCATCATAATCTTATCAATAATCCTCCAACACCTCAACCTCAACATTTTAATTACCATCACAGTTTAAATAAACTTTCCGATACTGCAGCGGCGACCAAGACGACGCCAATATCGGTTTTCCCTCAGATAGTTATCCATAACCCTTCACAAGATGACACAATTGCGCCGGCGCCGTCTTCTTCGTCTTCTCCGGCTCCTTACAAGAGACCCCTTTTGACCCAGACTTCTTCTCTCCCCAGAACCCCAACTTTGTTCCGTTTCACGAAGCCCCCACATTTCACTCCCCCTAATACGACTTCCTTCTTTTCATTTTCCATTGCTGCTAAATCTTTCGTTTCTCGGATAATTCGTCGTTTCAAGCACTTGCGTCGTCTCCGAGTTCACCTACGCTTAATCCTCCTCTTCTCTCTCCTCTTTTTCTACTTCTTAGTTTCGCATCCGAGCCACTCCTTTTTACTCGACTTCCTATCCGCTTTTGCTTTCTCCGCTGCCCTTCTTTTTTCCCTTAACCTCGCTCTCCCTCGCCTTCCTTCAATTCGCTTGTTCTTATCCCGTTCGTTTCCAATTAAGCTCAAGTCGTCGTCTTCATTTTCAAGGTCTCATTTGCCAGTGTTTTGGTCAATTGGGTCTCGGTCCAAATCCGAAAAGCGAGCGAATTCGGGGTGTTGGGTTCAAGTTTATATCAACGGAGACGTTTACGAAGGGGAGTTTCACAAGGGCAAGTGTTCAGGGAGCGGCGTTTATTATTATTATATGAGTGGACGGTACGAGGGGGATTGGGTGGACGGGAAGTATGATGGCTATGGGGTGGAAACGTGGGCTAGAGGAAGCCGGTATCGTGGGCAGTACCAGCAGGGTCTTAGGCATGGATTTGGGGTTTATAGGTTCTATACAGGGGATGTTATGTAGGAGAGTGGTCTAATGGGCAGGGGCATGGCTGTGGAGTTCATACCTGTGAGGATGGAAGTCGATATGTCGGGGAATTCCAATGGGGAGTCAAGCATGGATTCGGGCATTACCATTTTAGGTAAAGATATACATTGGTTTTATTGGTTTGTTATTGTTTTACTTCTTTTCTAGCTTATGCAATATATTATTTTATGTGTTCCTAATTGTTGTTTTAATTATCATTTTTTATGCACTCTTATTTCGCTTTGGTTCTCTGTGTCTGAATATGATGCCCGACTAGTTATTCTTTGATGTTTTAAGATTTGGGTGATGTTTTCGTAATTAACTAGTGTGCTATTAATTGTTGGGGAAGTATAAGGGTGTAGGGATTAGAAATTGGTATAAATGAAGATCAATCAATGTGTGGAAAGTGTAGTATTTTATGTTTAAATGAATCTTTGTAATTTCAGGGTTGCCTTTTAATTCTATAGACTTAATTAGCTATATGCTTCATGATCATGGTTCTGTATTTTACTAATTGTGGTTTTGAATCTTTTGATTTTCTTATTTAGGAACGGAGATACATATGCTGGGGAATATTTTGCAGATAAGATGCATGGGTTTGGTGTCTATCGTTTTGCAAATGGCCATTGCTATGAGGGTGCTTGGCATGAGGGTAGGCGACAAGGGCTTGGAATGTATACGTTTAGAAATGGGGAAACACAATCTGGTCATTGGCAAAATGGAATTCTCAATGTCCCAAGCACACAGAGCTCCACATATGCTGTGTTGCCTGTTGCTGTTTATCATTCAAAGTACTAAATGCGGTTCAGGTACTTAGACTTTTTTAATTTTGATTTTTAATCCCTTTTAAATATTAATGAAGAGGTATTTGGTGCATTATGTGATATTTTGTTCACTTTGCCTATCATCCATTTGGATGGTCCCATCTTACTTGTGTTATTTTATGTTAAATGTGATCATCCAATGTGAGATATCATAGATGAACCACTTGTAGCAATTCAAAGTAATTCGTGGAACCCGAGTTCCACAACGATGTAAATTGTGGAAAGGAGAGGCCAAATGCATATTAAGAGTTATACTCTGCAATACAACACAGTTATCTTTCAGCCTTTGCTTGGTATGAAAGGATGAAAAATTCTTAGGATGGAAATTTTGTTAATCAGATGGTCAAAATTCAACCTTCATAGCAAGCAAAGCTATAATTATCGTTGTTTTTGTAACACAAGTCAATGAACACTATGTAATCGGATCAAGACTGATTTTATTTATTTATTGGTGTTATGAACAGGAGGCTCGAAGAGCAGCAGAGAAAGCTTATGAAGTGACCAAGGTAGATGAGAGAGTGAACAAGGCAGTTGCTGCAGCTAATAGAGCAGCAAATGCAGCAAGAGTAATAGCAGTTAAAGCATTTCAAAAGTAAATGCATCCATAATAATTACAGTGACAACATTCCCAGTCCTACCACGTGAGACATCAAAAACGGCTCATTTACTTTCTAAAATACATAAGAATTGAGATTGCTGCAAGAGGATGGTGGTTTACGCGACTTACTTTCCAAATCAGGCTTATGTTCTTGTACTATTATCTTCTTATAGTGGTCTTTCTTCAAGAGGCAGTAACTTAACATGCCTGCATATTCCATGCATGACATTGAGAAAGAGACGGCTAAAGAGTAATCTATCTTTTTAATATTTTTTCCTTAAAAAGAAGTTATTATCGTACGTGCTGGGACGGATTTCCTTGCATAGAAAGGGGCTTGATGATGGTAATGGCACCATCCATATATCTTATTAGTTATAGCTGCTGCCTTTCCTTGGTGCAGTTTTGTAAAGATGGGGTAGATTATTATGTAATAATATGTAAGTGGTCGTAGGAGAGGCAGTTGAAACCTCATCCAGCTAGTCAATGTTTGTCGTGAACTTGAATGTTTCTGCAATGAAGGAAATCTTGCATCTTTTGCTTTCTTCAGACAAGAGCAAGGTAATTAATCAATAATATGCCAAGTTCAATTGCAGTGCTTTGGGGGTAACATATTAATACATGGAAGGACATAAAACTTATCAGAACTAAGGGCAGGGAAACAGCAACTACTAGAGAATGTTGCAATGTAACCATTCTTAAACACCAAGACTGCTTCAATCGAGTTAAAAGATCAAAATATCCCAAATGGTAAAAACATGTTTGCGATCCACTGCAGTAGAGTTCCATACATCAAAAATGAAAAGAAAAGAACAGAAGCATTAACTCTCGGTCTGCTCCCTAAGCCTCCGAATGGTACTCCTGACAGTAACAGCACTTGCAGTGCTGCACTCAAAGAAAAAACAGAAAAAAAATGTAATTAGATGGAGAAATGACAATTCAAGCAAATAAGCTTGCAAAACATGGACAACAAACTAACTTCATAGTGTAAGCGCCTCCAGCTTTCACTTTGCCACAGTCTTTGCATCCCCAAATCCCCACAGCTTTCCTCTTCACCGCATACTGCATCGTTTCATGTTAGATTACATAAGCAGCTATCAAGCAACATCATAAACAAGTAGAAAACCGATGTTGATAGACGAGAAAACTACCTTTCCACAAAACTCACAAAAGTACTTGCTATGCTGGCTGACCTCCATCTTCTTAATCTGCTTACGCAGACTAGCACCATATCGGGTACCTGAAATTTACCAGATGCTATCACCATTCTAAATACACAAACGCAAAGGCGCACCATGTAAGTACAATTCAAAATCATACAAATAAGCTACTAGACTGCTATTAACAGTATAATATTCAATATGTTATAAATTCATGGCATTTCAATGCAGCAAGACAACGGAATAGTTCACATAGAGTTCGTCTCTCATCACAAGGATGCCAAATTATAAATAGAAACAAACAGCGTACATACCATACTTGCCGACAATACCGGCCTTCTTCGTTCTCTTTGTCTGCACAAAATTAAAGAGATGAAGAATTAACACCAGCTACCAACTTGAACATACGAAAGATTAAAAGGAAATTAACAAGTCCGATGCATCACAATAAAACAATTACTTAATTCGTATTACCAATAGTAACTTTGGGTAGTAAATTTAAGAAATAATGTGAAGCAATGTGAATTCAGTGAAAGAAAGTGTACCATTATGGAGAGCTCTGTGGATGCGCGGAGTAAAAACCCTAGAAATGAAATCCCACTCGCAAAGCTATGATGCGCGGCCAATTGAGTGGAGAAAGAGGGTTGACAATGCACACGCTTAAATATTATTTGCCCTAGAACCCGATCCTTAAGCCCAATTTCATTTGGGCCGCACGTTACCTGGCCTGAAACAATAAACTTTATCTTCGCTAACTTCATTTCTAAGCCCATTAACTTGATCCGAAATATCTGATAGATTCCAGATATTATATTGGAGCACGAACCAAATGATTTTAGTGATTAAGAAATTATTGGTTTTGAGTTTGGACACTACGTATGTATTTTTGTATGAGCATTCAATATGAAATGACTGAGAGTCTAATATAGAAATTAATTTAATATATTAAAAAGAATATTAAAAAATAAAGAAATTTATCTACTCAATTTTTTTAAATAGATTCTCGATTTTGTAACTTTTAAATCCACCATCGATCATAACGTAAAGTGATTCTGTATTAGTAGCCAACAACGCAAGAAAATAATGGTTAACACCTCTGGTTAGTGTTTAATGGCTATTTTTTTTATCTAGTTCCAATCTTATTAAATTTTGATATTTTATAATTTTATTACATTATAAAATATTTTAAAAACCTTATTTAAAAAAAAATAACATAAAAATAACATAGCACTTATATATCTTTTGAGACGGATACGTACGAAGACAACTGCTTGAACCACACTTTTGAAATATCATCTTTTCCGTCGTGTATTCCTACCACTTTCCTGGAAAACAAGATTACAGATAATACTTGGAGCAGCGCAAGGATTAGCTTATCTGCACGAGGGCTTAGAAGTTCAGGTTCCTTTTTAAAACACTTAAACTATGCATTATCATCAGATTTTGGTTATCCAATGTGTTATTGGATGAGAAGTTCAACCCGAAACTTTCGGATTCCGGGTTGGCAAGGGAGGGACCAATGGCTGGCCGTACGCATGTTTCAACAACGGTTAGTGTTTTGATGTTCCATGTTTCAACATGGAACATCATAGTACTTGTTTATGATGATGACAATTGACAAGGTTTCGTTGTGATCAGGTTGTCGGGACATATGGACCCTCGACTCCAGAACCAGTATTCGATCGGTGCAGCTAGAGAAATTGCTAAGTTAGCAGATACTTGTTTAGTAAAAAGTCGGAAGCAGCGGCCCAAGATGAGTGAGGTGGTGGAGATACTAAAGCAGATAATCCAAGCTTCGGAGGAAGGAATCGCCGAGGAAACCGGGATTCCTATTGGGGCATCGGAAATTCAAGCAGCCGAGACAGAAGAGAAAACGAATAATCGATCTGGAAGAGGCGGATGGCACATCTTGCGAAGTTGGGAGAGCATGTAGAAGGTGCAAGTAGGAGGAGATTGATGATGTTGCAGCGGGGTAAAGTGCCTGCCCTTCATTAGCGCAGATATAATTCAAGCAACTATATTTTGAAGCAATATTAGCTTGTAATCGTTCAAACTATTTAAAAAATATAAGAGGGGATTATGACCTAACAATCATCGCAAAATGATAGATCTTTAAATTGTTCTTTTTTTCATTAATGAAAACTGCACAGTCCGATGCCCGTGCCCTCGGCCATCATCCCAGAAAAAAACCCCTAAAATACAAAACTTTCTCGAAGTTTCTTCTTCGTTTTGATTTGTTTACTCAAAATTGATACATCACAATGCAAGAAAAAAGCAAGACGTGATTAGTGATTACTGGATTAGTTCACAGCAACCGTGCCGGTCCGTACAGTTTTGTTACCAGTAGAGTTCTGGGCATCTGATTTCCTAAGAGATCTACCGGATTTCCAGTTCTTTTCTCTCGCTTCGTCGATCTCCATCTGTTTTTGTCTACACTCTTTGCTGCAAAACGGCGTATTCCCTCTGCGACAATTTCCCACCAAGACCATAATCAATCACAACGCTCAAACAATATTTTTTCCGTTTTTACTAAATTCTCATAGCTAAACACATCTTATGAATTAAAAGTGAATGATAAAAAAAACTAACCTGTACATGAAAATATCGGAATTGTGAAGCGATCTGCGGCAAAGAGAGCAGGCATCGAGGAAATGGGAATCGTACTGATCTTGGCACCCGGAGTAATAATAATAATCCGACATGGTTCGCTACTGTTGATTGATTTATAACAAAACAACACAAAAAAGAAAGAAAAACAATGGCCGAAACTGCAAATTTGCAGTTTGTGAGTGGCTATGCGAGAAGAAGAGTGAGGGCAGCAGTTCAAGTACGGGAGCCTCGAGACTTTTAAAAAGGGAAAGCTTTGACTTGGGGCAATCAAGTACTACACGCTCTATTATATAAAACTTAAATCCCGTTGTTAATGACACGTGTTATCAGTTCGTGGCAGTGTTGTAAACGTAAGTGGTTTACGATGCGGTCCTGTATGCTTGATGAGAGTGGGTTTTTCCCTATACGTTAACGATACTAATTTATAAACAAGAATAAAATTCAGTATTCTTTTTTGGAAAAATTATACTTAAAGTTTCTTAATTATAGGGTTGATAATAAACAGAATATTTTTCTTTTAAAAGTTACATGTAGGTCACTTTGTTGTTAAAGTTTAGACACATGTCTAATGTAACCTGGTATAATAATTTTTCTAATCTCTAAAACTTATATATTTATTAATTTTATCTTAATTTAAAATAATTCTATAAATTTAATATTTTATATTTAGAATTTTCATCAATTTAAATTATTTTTACAATTATAGAATATTGTAAAAAACAAGTTAGTTCATCAGATCAAAACAGTAGTTGGGTAACTATTTTCTATCACAAATTATCAATAAACTACTATTAAATTATTATTATACCAAAAATTTAATATAACATCCTGAGAAAATAATAGAGAATAAAATTATATTTTTAAAATATGACTAAATTTATTGAATTATTTTAAATTAAAATTAGAAACAAATTGATAAGTTATATAAGTTTTGAGGATTAAAATTATTATTACACTAGACTATGTACGTTTTGCAGATATATATGGCGCCATTCTAGGATTTCATTTCCTAGTACCATGACCAAAATAAACTCCTACTTCCAACATCTCTTCCAAATTTATGTTTCAATATCTTCTTGCCATTTCTCTTCACGCTCCCTCTCTCTATCTCTTTTTTCCACTTTAAAAAAAAGAGACACCCTAAAATAAATAATAGCTCCAATGGAACCTTCTCTTCTACCGATGATTGATCGTTTATCCACGAGCCAAGTCATTACTTTCTATTCGCTATTCTCTTTATTACTATTAACATATTAACAAATCTTAACAACTCGACTAACCATAACAAAATAAATACTTAAAAAGATGAATCCACTCCTCTTATCTTAATGGTCGATGATTTGTTTGTAATAATATTTTAATTGAGTGGTTTATTTGTAATTTTTAGAAGAAAAGTGATATGTTTGTTACCAAACCCATAATTAAGTGACATGAAGTATAGTTTACTTTTTTTGTTGCTTTTGCATGTTTTCATGTTTAGTCCTACAATTGTTGGGTATTCTTGTACACCCATAAAATTTTAAATTATTTAGCTATTTGTAAGTTTCTTTGGATTCTCTTCTCTTAGACACTTGGCATTGAGATGCTATTTTCCATTAATTTCTTACTATTCCAGTTTTAGTTAATCTAATTACTGCTTTTAATTTTCCAATGAATTTCCCTAAATTAATTTTATTATTGGATCACCAAAAGATTCTTTGTTTTTTGAATTTGTTGTACCCTCGATCACACATTCTTTAGAAATATCATGTAATCTTATTTAAAAAGTGTCTTTGAAATCCATTCAATGTCCTCAATGATAAAAAATATTATTTTCTTAAAAAAATTGATTTCGGATAATTATATCTACAGAATATGTTTTGTCAGTTAAATAAAAAAAATTATAGAAATTACAGTTTTATAATCACTATAAACTATGTAAAAAAATTGTCTTTGACAGTATTGATTTTACACAATTAATCGTGCGAAAATGTACCTCTCATAACATTGTTTTTGCCATTGATTAGTCATTAGTCATATGGATGCATGCATGCATGCCATTGAAAATATCGTTCATATTCATAGCCTGCCTTATGCATGCACGCCTCTAAAATCATTGTTTTTGTTTGACACATCCTTTAATTTTTATTTATATCTTTTTTTTTCTCCTCATTCATTTGCCAAATAATAAAAGGATAAAACAATCATTTCCAAAACTTAACTCACTTCATTTCCAAATCATTAATATTATCCAATACTAGCATTTATTACGTTTCAATGATTTAATTGTTTTTTTTTATTTATAAATCTGGGTGAATATAAGATAATATACGTTTAAAGATTTTTATCATTTGACAATGAATGCTCATATCCTTACATATACGATGCTCAAACCATGGACCTCAATAGATAATAATGAATTCTTTAACTACCGAGATCGTTTTATTCGTAATCAATAACTCAATTCTTAAACGATAATATACTGATATTAGTAACTTCAATGCGGCTTAAGACATTTGTTAATAAAGAGAACATATTTAATCACGTTATCTGGAGTAGCATTTTCAAATTTCAAGTAGCACCAGTGGAACATGTAGCAAATATTGCCGTTATGCTGTCATTTTCTCATTGCTTGTATTCATGCATAATGGTCCACAGATTATATCGCAATTCCTATACAAAATCATCTGCCTTTCCTTTGTTTTTGTGTGTGATTTGATTGATAATGAACCCTTTATAATTATTTTAAGGTACTCACCTACATTTTCGAAAAATATATATTGGTGTCCACAAGATTAAGAAAAGGAATAATAATGGGTGATGATGATGGTTGTAAGTTTATGGGAATATATAAATCATGGAGTGGGTTGTTTGGCAATTATGGAGGAGAAAGGGGACAATGTAGAAACCTCAATTGTTTTGATATTATTTTAATGCGAAAAATTGGGTTTGGCACTTGACGATTCTTCTGGAGGATACGGCCCTTTAGTTTTTTGCTTTTTGTCCAACTAGAAGTTGAGTAATAGTGGGGTATTATTTGTGGGGTCCACAATTTTAAAAATTTTAAAATTTTAATGACATGATTATTGCCGATATAATATATTTTTATCTATTATACAGATTAAGCTTAGAACAATTCAACATAGTTTTCTCTCAATTTTTTTTATTGTTTGTTACTTTTCTTTTTCTTTTTGGTGGTTGGCAATAATGATAATACTCTTATGTTGATCATCGATATTAGTTATTTTTATTTTTTTTATATCACATCTATGTTTTTATTTTTAACTTTTTTAATAATTCTATTTTTATGATATTTTTTTTTCTACTTTTATAACATGTTTTTCATTATTTTTTGGCATGTTTTCGGTACTTTAATCTTTGTTTTCATTTATCTTTTTTTACTCATGGTGGATTTGATATCGTCATTACTAGTCAATATTACGCTTATTTCTCATCATATTGATCTTTCATGCTTTGGACTCTTGATTAAATTTGAATACGTGACTTACGTTTATTGATAATTTTCTCACGTAGCTAGACTCTAATTTGCGAGTTTATCAATAGTCTTTCAATAATTTGATTTCTTTTATAATTAATTTACTAATACAATCAAATCTATTTATATCTATCTTCGGTTAAAGATGTTATAATTCCATCGCACTTTATCATATCAAAGGGATTCTATCGAAATATCCATGAAGTCCAACAACAAATAGTTAATGTGACCTAACAAATCTACACTTGGAATAATATATTAGGCTGGCCAATTTCAAAAATTCATTCAGGCATTAAGGAAAAATAAGAAACAAGAGTCAAAAGTGTGGAATATATTTGGGAACGTTGCATGAGCGTGGAAGTATAACTTTCAGTTACAAGATCTCCTGCACAATCAATTGTCTCATCGACCAATTAACGACATCAATCAAATATGGTTTAACAGCGAAATGAATAAACAACTCAAAGTAATAATACAGTTGAACAACATAGCATTTCTGTTGCCAGCATTGCAAGGAAATGCACTTCCACTATAGCACCCCTTCTTCTGCTTTATCCCTTCACCGCGATCTTCAAGAACGAAGCTAGAATTCGTCCCACCGTTACTAAAAAGAACACACCAAAAGAAGGGGCCCTTGTGGAATCCGATCAACCCAACTCCCACCTCGCTATGCGATTTGTTTCTCACAACTGATAAGATCTTCTTGTCTTTAACGAGAACATTTGCAAATGCCAGTGATGGCTCTGTATATTTGGATTGACAACCCACGATGAGGCCGGTAATCGTGCCGATTGTTGGTAGCTCTACACCACAATTGGGAGCAAATACTTCTGTGAAGTCATCCTCTGGTGGTTTACAGTTTACGGCACTGCTCCCGCTGCAGTTCCCCTTGCATAACTCAACATACTGGAGGGCCATGCACCCGAGACCGGGGCTGTCGTTTAGTCGTGAAAGTTTTTGAGCAGTTCTGTTCTGGTTAATGATCTCCACAAGATCATTTGCAGGGTTTCCTGAGGACAAGCATCAAATACAACCAAGATTTAGAAAAATTCAAATATACCACAGAAGATAAGTATTTTCTGTGAGTAGGTAATCGAGTATATTTGCAAACTAGATACATTGGGTTACGCCATTACACAATGTTTCTTGTTTTCAGAGACAGAAGACCCTACTACGCCAAAGTTGTATGGAATCACAAGAATTATAGCCTGGAATATATATATAGCCACATAAATGTGTAACATTATGTAACCGATGTACCAGAATCATTTAAATCCAATGAAGCCTTGCATGCCAAAGAGTTGACAGATGAATTGTCACAGAGGTGAGAAGCCATGGTTCAAATTTCTTCTCTATAGCATGAATAAGAGAGAGGGTTATAAAATTTCATAAACGCAGTGCTGATGGCTCTGATGTGTGACTTGTTGAATCTAACTACTAGTGCTTTGGTGATAGATAAAAGAGACCTATCTATCGGCTAACTGAAGTTGAAGAACCAAATGACTAAATCGTTCTGGTGTCTCAAATAGCAACTCCTTCAATCTTTAACATAGCTTTTGATAAAATGAATAGATATACATTACGAGAAATTGTTTCCTTTTTCTTTTGAATAATTTGGGATGATTAGAAGGTACTATTTATTCAGAATCTTTTTAGTTATTGGCAATGCACATACACCGTGCGGACGCAACAACTCAAACCTGGATCCTACAGGGAGAATCAGATTCTCTTTTACCACTAAAAACACTCAATAAGTTCATTTATATTGTTTCTTTGATAGGTACAGTGAACTGCTTAAAGATGTGCAAGCTTTGGCTAGACCAAAACAATCAGGATAACAAGATAACCCCAGACTTTTGTTATGAAGTTTGACACAAATTGTAACTGAATCTATACAAATGGCTTACATAATATAAGGTGTAATTCATCAGTATCAACATTGTATCTTAACTGAATATGTATCAGTAGTTCAGTCTCAGCAATTTGGTACCCTTTCACACTACAATGGATCGCTTAGAAATCTAGTGAATGCAAAAGCAGTTTTGCTCTACAGTTGCAAACATTGTCTCTCAATCTGGAGTTTCTTAGTAAACCACCTATAAATCTACAGTTGGTGTTCAAAAAATGGACGAGCAGATGATGTATGAACAACAACAAAACAAAAGATAAATGTGGAAGCATCTTACCATGGTGCTTGGAACAAACAACGGTTGCCAGCAGTAGATGACATAACAGTAGAATCCACTCGCAGGAACATTGTTTCTTCTCCTTCATCGTCCCCGTTAACAGCCAACACTTGAAAAAGGGAAACCCTAGCTCCAGTTGAAAAAAAGGGTATTCTTTTCGATATCAAGAGAGCTCCTTTAGCTCAAGTGTGAAAGGTAAACCGTAAAATAATGGAACATTTTTGCGGGAAAAAAAGATGGGGATAAAGTGCACTGAAATCGCAGAGATTGAGGAGAAAAGTTGGGAAAGGTGGTCCCAAGTGCGCCAGTAACCGTTGATCTATACGGATGAGATGTGTTGAGTTTTTTAAAAGCAGATCAATAAAGAGGACCCACCCACCAAAGGGGTGACAATTAAAATGGAAGGTGACCACGCCGCTCTTCTCTTGTCGCTTTGTTTTTCCCATCCTCTGATGTTTCAATTGAATTTGACCCTCCTTGCTTTGGATACCTTTTTAAATATTAAATTAATATTATACGAATTTATATTATTTTTTTGGATAAATAGAATTTTATTCATTTAAAAGAGTACAGACCAACTGCTACAAACGAAATCCGTCAAAATTATACCAAACTCCAATCTATACACAATTATCAATTTACTACATCAAGTCTATTCATATGACACCTATACATTTTAATACTTACCGCTTCTTTAATTATACTAACAATAGTTTCGATTAAACGAGTCGTACCTCTGAAGAGCCTATGGTTACGCTCCTCCCATATAAAATAAATGAAACCAGACCAGGCCAGCTTAAGGACCTGAACCATAAGAGATTTCCCTTTAAGGTTCAGCAGCAACCAGCGAACGAGATCATTACAGCATAAAGGCTCCTGACTAAGACCACAAGCGTGCAAGATAGCATGCCAAACTACCATAGCAAAGGCACAATCAGAGAAAATGTGATCACGAGACTCAAAACTAGATCTGCATAATCCACAACTACTATCAACAGCTATACCGAACCTTACGAGCCTGTCCTTAGTTGGCAATCTGTCAAGTATTGCCATCCAAGAGATTAATGAAAATTTTGGGATATGGCCAGGAAACCATACAAGCCGATGCCAAATAACCTTCTCACCTCTGCAACGAATATTATCCCAAATTCATCTAGCATTAATTTGAGTCAAGTTCCTTATAGAGCAGAATAATTCACTAGTTTCACTCCTCAGCTTAAACATTTTAGCTAAGATCCAGCTAAAGTGAGCCCTGTAATCAGCATGCCAGAAATCCACTGATTTAAAGCAATAAGAATTCACCCAAGCAATCCAAAGGGAACTTTCCCCATCCAAAATCTTCTTTATAAGCAATAAACAACATGCTTTGCTCCAATCTGTCAAACTCCTTAAACCCAATCCTCCCTCAGATTTTAAAGAACATATCTGTTTCCAGCTAACCTGTAACACCCTTAACTCATATCCGACCCGAATACAAGTCTGAGGTGTCACATTGACTTTTCAAAACCTTGACTCTTATAGAAAATCCCGGGAATTTTTAAAACTTTCATTAAAACGAAATACTTTAATTTACATAAGACCATAAAATACAAAATCGATCAGAGTATTCGTAATTAACACTTATTACATGCCAACACTCTATACATAACCAAGTACATACTTTGTCAATTACTTCTGATCTGATCTCTTAGTAGTATTGTTGTCCGTGCTACTTCTATTTCCACTTTTCCTGATTCTTGGTACCTACGTGTAAATCACTTACACGCTAAGTCATTGACTTAGTGAGGCAATAAATGAATATGCAACAATAAACTTATGAATGTTCATACTTACAATTGGATCATGACATTTCAATATGCATGTATCTATCGCACGATAACATATAATGCACATACGAAACTTACCTTCTTGTATCACTTTCACTGTAAATCGGTATTTCAATTGCATAGCCCATGTATATTATTGAGATTAGAGGTATGTGAGTGCATTGAGGTTGTGCACTAATGCTGTCACCACAGCTCGTATCTATTCCCTAATGGGGTACCAAACCTTAGTTCAGTATTCGTCCCGTAGGACTCCTACATCCCGAAGGACTACGTCCCGAATGACTATTATACCCTCAACTCTTGGCATGCCAATTACACCTATAATTCTCATATCGTATACTATGGGCATTATTCTTATATTTCATATGTTCATGTACTCATATCATTTCTCTTGTGATCATGTATCTCATATCACTTCATATCATGTTCTTATATCACAGGTCATATCACATGAACACATATATATATATCTTATGCATGTATCACAATAATTATCATGTATGCATGTTCACAACTACTGTATTATAAAAATCAACATAGAGATTAGACTTATCACAAGTCTTATTCCATTATAATATACATATAGTATGCACTCACCTTAGCTTTGCTTTGATTCGATTCTAATCCTTTGATCGTTGCGGAATAAGCTTACTTTTAGTATCTACATAATCGCACATGGATCTATATCAGTATTATAACTAATATACTCTAATGATTCACTCTTTAGATTAAGAGAAAAGTCAATTTCATCTTTTAATGAAGGTATGCATCGATGCACTACTGATGCATCGGTGCATAAAAGGTATTCGATGTAGTATTATTGCTGGGATACATCGATGCACTCCTTATGCATCGATGCACCAATTGCATTCGATGTTTTTATTTTAAAAGAGTGCATCGATGCACTACCAATGCATCGATGCACATTCATACAATTTATGGATTTTAACCTTGATGCATCGATGCACCATGAATATGCATCGGTGTACTCTGCCCAGAACCTCTTTTTGAACCCGAAAATCCATTCATTTTGGATTAAATCCTTCATGTTTAATCCCCTCTTTCACTCTTAACTCTAGTACACATCCTTAAACCAATTTATACTCATTTATTTCATCTTTAACCTTCAAATCCTATCCTTCATATGAAATTCAAGAATTACATCAATAATCCAACATGTTTGAATTCCACTTTTAACACTTCATATATCTTAACTATATTGATGACAAGTCAAATTTAACTTTCAATTATAGTTATGAACTGTATTCCAAGATTTCATTTAAGAACTTCAAATCTTAAATCTCTCCTAACTCAATCATCATTTGATGTTAAGATAACTTAAGCTTTCCTTAAGCTTAGTTATCATCTAATAATCAAAACCCAATATTAAATTTAACAAGAAACTCAATAATCAGAAATCTTACCTTTGCTTTGGTTCACACGTACAAGGAAGAAAGAAGAAGAAGATAACTCTGGAAGGCTTTGGTGTTCTCTTCTTTTCATTCCACCTGTACTCATATATATCCTTATCCCTTCTTTAATTAATTTTCCTTGCAAATGGCTCTTTTGCCCTTCCATTCCTTCTTCCTTTCAATTCAATCCTACACAATCATTTACATATAAATCTTTATACTATTCATTCATTCTATTTTAATCACCAAAATCTGAAACTTTCCAATTTAGTCACTAACCCGGTATTGAGGATGTTACATAACCCGTGCCCCTCTAGCTGAGGAATCACTCCCTTTCCAGAAGAACCTCATGCACAACTTCTCAACATCCCTTATGACTCCCTTAGGCAAAATAAGTTGTCTGCTCCAATAACTAAACATATTAAAAAGGACAGATTTAATGAGTTACAGTCTGCCCCCAAAGCTTAGTCTCTAATTGGACCATTTACTCAATTTTTCCTTAACTTTGGTTACCAAAGCAGTACAATCTTTACCAGTGAGCTTCTTAGTAACCAAGGGTACACCAAGGTACCTAACAGGGAAATTCCTAACTTTGAAACATGTTCCAGCCTTAATTTGCCCAAGAACAGAGTCAGTTAAACCACAAGCATACAACTCAAATTTCATGGCATTGAGCCTAAGGTCAGAAAGCTTGTAGAAAGTCTCTAAAGTGCTAAGAACACCCATCACAGAATCAAAGGATCCATGGCAAAAAGCCAGCAAGTCATCAGCAAAGCAGAGATGTGTGAGGGAGATCCTTTTGCACTTAGGGTGGTATTTAAAGGCACCTCTTTTGATAGCAACATCCAATAAGGAGGAAAGAACATTCATAGCCAGAACAAAAAGATAAGGGGATAAAGGATCCCCTTGTCTAACTCCTCTAGCCCCCTTAAAAAATCCCACTAAACTTTCATTTAAAGAAACAGAAAACTGAGAAGTAGTAACACAGGCTTTTATCCATCCACAAAACTTTCCAGGCAAGCCCATAGCTTCAAGCACTGACATCAAGAACTCCTAATTTACAGAATCAAATGCTTTTTGTAGGTCTATCTTTATGGCACACCTAGGGGAGAGACTTTTCCTAGAATAGCCTTTAACTATTTCCTGAGCTAGCAAGGTATTGTCAACGATATTTTTACCTTTAACAAAAGCAATATGACTAGGGGAAATCATACTAGGAAAAATGAGAGACAACCTAGTAGTGATAATCCTAGTAATTGTTTTGTATACTACAGAGCAACAAGAGATTGGCCTAAAGTCCTTTGTCATACAAGTATTCAAAGGCTTTGGAACTAACACAATAGAGGTAGCATTGAAAGCTGGCAGCAGAAAAGAAGAGTGGAAAAATACCTTACTGCATCTAAAAAATCATTACCAACCACATCCCAAGCAGCTTTAAAAAACCAAGAGGAAAATCCATCCAGGCCAGAGCTCTTTCCATTTCCTTGCCTAAACAAAGCCTCTTTTATTTCCTTGTCATCTACCTCCTTAATGAGCATATCACCAGCACCATCTGGCAGAGAGTAGTTCAATAAGTCCCTAAGCCATTCCACAAGAGGATTCTGAACCACTGGATCAACAGTCCCAATGAGATTAGTGAAGAAATCCACTAACGCATTTGCCATATCATCAAAGGAATCCAAATACTGACCACTTCCAGTCAGTAAAACATTGATAGTATTCATTTTCTTATTAGATTCAGCCCTTTGATGGAAAAACTTTGTGTTAAGATCACCCTCTTTTAACCTGTGCACTTTTGCGATTTGCCTATAAAATTCAGACTCAGCAATCTCCAAGTCAACCAGCTCAGCATGAATATTTCTCTCCTCCTCAATACTTCTATGATCGATATGGCTAAGGTTAAACAACTGAATCATTTCCAGATCTGCTCTTTTATTAAGTACTCTGCTGGAAATGTCAGAGAAATGTTCCTTATTTAACTCATTCAATCTAGGCTTTAATCTTATCAATTTAGAAAACAACATTTGCATAGGATTGCCCGCACACTGTTCCAACCAAGACGCCCTAACAACTTCCATAAAACTAACATTAGAAGTCTAGCAGTTAAAGAACTTAAAAGGCTTAGGCTTCATAGCCAAAGCACCCTTCTGTGTCCAGATCAAACCAAGGCAGTGGTCTGAAACACCCTGAGCCTTAAATTCAGCAAAAGAGTCAGGGTGAACGGTCAACCATTCAGGATTAACCAAGATCCTGTCAAGTTTACGAGCAAGAAAACACTCATCCTGTCTATTAGACCATGTGAAAGTGGGTCCAAGAAAAGGATGATCCAAAAGCTCCAAATCACCTAAACAGCCCTATAAATCTTTCATATCCGAAGAGCTGTGAACACCCAAGGTCTCAAAATCAGAGTTCTCATCTGCTTTAAGAACAACATTAAAATCCCCACCAACCAACCATGGGAAAGAACCAACTAAACTTTCCAAACTCCTCAAATGATCCCATAAACCTCTCATGCCAATCCTACTATTACTGCCATATACAGCTGTAACCAGTGTCCTACAACCATTGATATTACCAGCAATGGTAATAGATTGATCACTAGTACTCAAAACAGAAAAGGTCAGTTGTTTCCTCCACAGAATCCAGATTCTGCCCCCCTCAGCAAAATCAAAATTTTCTGTCAGATGCCAAACATTAGAGTAAGCTGAGTAAAACTTCAAAGAATTAGTTCTTCTAATACGGGTTTCCAAGAGACAAACAACATCAACTCCTAAATATATTAGCCTTTTAAATGCCTTATGCTGCTTAAGAGGGTTATTAATCCCTCTCACATTCCAAAAACTCACTAACATCAGTTTGAAACAAGACCCACAACACTACCAGTCCCCACATTACCACTAGCTTTTGCTTTATCCACAAAATCCCTCTTTTTAGACTTGATTTCATTAAGCAAGGCAGCAACTCCTAAGGAGGTTACCCGAGCCTTCCTCGGACCATCAATCGCACCTCCCTCAGCTAGCATTTCAAATTTACTGGAAGTACCAGTATTTCATTTCTTCATCCCTTTCATTTTCTTATTTGAAGCCATATAATATTTTAAAGTAGGGAAATCCCCCACTAAACCTGCATCCTCTTGCAATACCTTAAGAGCCACTTCCTCAACTAGAGAAGAGCTAAGAGTGTGATCAAGACCTATCGAACCAGCCTCCATACTCACTCCCTCATATGCAACCTTAGGAGCCATTCCCTCAACTAAGGAGGGACAAAGAGTGTTCCCAGATTCTGAGCCAGAACCCTCCTTACACATTACAGAAGCATGCACCACCTTTTTAGAGTCATCCACCCCAGTATTGCCATCAACAACTACTATGTGAGAGCCAACAGGCAACTCTTGTAAGGCTGAAACATTAGTTACCTCAGCATTGCCAACCAACAACTCATGGTTTGAAACACCCGCACCAAGAGCAAAACTAACATTACCCGAAGAGCCCAAAGGCAAATTGGAGAGCACAGGAGAGATACTCTGAATAACAATTGAGTCCATCTTTTACTTATCACAAAGCTCAGAAGAGTTGGTACCTTTTTCCCTTCAAACTTTAACCTCATGCTTCACCCTCTAAGACACAACACACCTATTTGCCAAATGCCCAAAAGTTCTACAACAGGAGCAAGATTTTAGTAACCAAGGAACAAACACCTTGATATAAACCAAGGATTCATTCTTAAGGACAACCTTAACCTCTTCAGGAATCACAGATCCTGCAGAAATCTCCACACACACCTTCTCATATTCCAATCTCTCCCTAAAAGTAGTGATGGAATCCATATACAATGGATTCCTTAAAGCACTAAAAATGTAACTAAGGCCTTTCCTAGAATATAATTCCAAAGGAACATTATAAAGATATATCCAAATAGGCATAACAGAGAGATCAAAATCAAGTTTTTGCATACAGGGCTCCCACTTCTTCAGAACCAGAGGTTTATTCTGGACATGCCAAGGATCATTCTCAAGCACCCAGTCCCTAATAGAAGCATTCATGAACGAGAAAACATAAAGATTCGAACCCGCTAAGCTAACCTTAACTGGCGAAGATTTTCCCCAAAGCGAGCTAATAATCCGCTGCATCGATTCAAAATTTGGAGCAACACCAATAAATTGACCCACAATCGCGAAGTTCCATTCAGCAATACCCTCCTCAAACACTGTCAAAGGCGGCTTAACCGTAGTAGTACCATCCAGAACCTCGGGGGGAAAGAAATCCAAGGATTGTTCCTCCGTCCCCACAAAAAGCTTCCTCCAATCAAGCCTAAGAGCCTTCGAATCCATGCAAGAACCGAGAATAAAACCAGCAACCACGCAGAATTGAAAGAACCCAACAAGCAATTAGAAACGGAGAAGGAGATCGAAGAACACATTAAGCCAGCTAACGTGCGCCTCAAGAGCCCCAACGAATGAAAAAATGAGTTTATTTTTTAAAAAAATATGAAAGATTTTATAAATTAATAAAAAATAACATCATCTAATACATTTATAAAAATATATCACGCATAAATAATTAAATTCAAATTAAGTTGAAAAATTATAATTTAACGTCCATCTAGTTAACATATGAGTCGTGTTATTTGTTTCTCAACACATGAATTTAATATGGATCCAATTATTATTCATCAAAGGGGCCATCGTCTTTCGAAAATGAAGACCCATTGATGAGAGGTCCAGTTTTAATTTGACGAGTTGGTTAACTATACAGTATACAGTCCGCATCTCCTTCAACCACAATCGTGCCCTAACCTTTCTCGACAGTAATTTGATGCCCTGAGTGAACAGCAATGCTTTCACGGCTTGAGCGTCAAAAACATGACTCAGTCTGGGTGTATGTGCAACCACAACCATACATGTGTGGTTTGTAGCTACCACACATACAGCAACTGCTTGGAGGTCATGCACCGCCCATATTGATTTTGATAACTTTTGTTATTTTAAAAATATAATTATTTATATTTCAAGATCATAAAATTAAAAATGTAAAAATAAAAATTTATTATATCTTGAGTATATAATTTTATAAATAATTTGGGTGGATAATTTATTATTATTATTTAAATATCACAGTAACTAGACATTTCCAGACCTAGTTTTTGGTTCGACAAAACGAGACAAAGCGAGGAAGTCTCTAGAACCCCACCTCTTTTAGGAGTAGCCATTAGGGCTATAAACGTAAAAACCAAGTGAAGGGTTTTAGTTTTGCTTACATATTTGGGCAACTATTAGTCGAAAGGTCTGCTTCTTAATCTTATCCATGGCGTCCACATTTCTCTCCGCACCAATTTCCTTCACGCTAAACAAACCCACACTCCCTTCTCTTTCCTCTCACAGCCTTCACGGTTAGTTATCGTTGTCCCTTCTTTTTATTTTAGTCTTATAGATTGTTTTTTCGTTCTTCTAATCACTTATCTTTTTGATTGTGGGTTTACTTACCTTCAGGGTCTCGAAGAAGTTATCTTGGAATTAAAGCACTTGCCAGTAAATGGGAACCCACCAAGGTTATTATCCTTTCAATTCAATTATCCCAGTTAGACAAAGACAATTTATATAAATTTATAAACCACCAGATTGTTCTTTAGGGTCTTTTTATTTAAAAGGCTAATTTTTATGCTAAACCTACTTTGGGTTTTGTAGGTTGTTCCACAAGCTGACAGAGTTCTTATCCGTCTCCAAGAGTTACCCGAGGTCTGTCCATTTGTTTGATTTGCAGGTTACTAGTTCCTGTTAGCACTGAAGTTGCTTGGTTTAACTAGTTTTTGTTGTTCAAAATATGTTGAAATGTAGACAATATATATATATATATATATATATATATGGGTGTCTTCGGTCTCAATTTTGTTCCCTTCTTAAATGCAACCATGAGACCGTGTTTGTTTTCTGAATTCTAAGAAATTTGAATTGGGTAGCATAAATTGGTTCTTCTTGTTGATATTTTAGAAAAAACACTATCGGAAATTATATGCGATGCCTGGGAATCGGAATGGGAAGGGAACTATCTTATTGGTAGATGAATGCATGGTGCTTGGCTGTTTCGTACGAGTTATTAAATCGTTAGCTCTCTTAGCCGTCTGATAAAATTGTGATGAAATGCATTTTTTTACATGTGTTCTGATTAATCACCCGTTTTGTACCCATAGAAATCAGCTGGTGGAGTTTTGTTACCCAAATCAGCTGTCAAGTTTGAGAGATACCTGATGGGGGAGGTATGATAAGTTGATAATAGTCCCTCCATAGCTTTCCCTCCCAACTTTTAGGATGAATGTTTTTTAATTCTATCATTCCACTTCAGATAGTTTCTGTTGGTGCTGAAGTAGGACAAGTGGAGACTGGAAAGAAGGTAATCAATTCGGGTCCTTGTCTGCATTTCAATTTTCTCATGATCAGTATGAACATGCTTGTTGTAATGATAGAATGCCGTTGTTCTAAAAGAATGCCGTTGTTGTTGCCAGGTTCTTTTCTCAGACGTAAATGCATATGAGGTTAGTTATCATCTCTTTATCCATTGCTTGAGCAAATTGCTGAAGGCTATTCTTTCTACCGACTAACTATTAGCAATTTAACATGGTGGTAACTGCTTAATAGTGAAGAATATTTTTAGGCATAATATCTGTATCATCTTCTGCATTTATCTTATTCAGTAATGGCCATAGGTTTGATGTGCAAAAAGGGGTTTTAGTTCCTTTCATTAACATGATAATGAATCATTTCAATAGTTGATTGTATGACTGGATTGCTTGTAGGTGGATTTGGGAACAGATAATAGGCATGTCTTCTGCAAAGAGAGTGACTTGTTGGCTGAAGTTGAATAAAGTTTCTGGTGCTTGATCAAGAGGAAGAATACACTTCGGTGGTACTTCATGGATCAAGATTTGCCTTTTCAAATGCATTTCATAATCGAACAGCTTGCCATTTTGTAACGATTGAGAATACATTATGTCATTAGGTTTTCGGAGTTGAAAAGAATTTTCAAATATTTAATATCTTGGATTTCAGCTTTTCATAAAATGAAAGGAATTCACTAGTAGATAAGAGCAACATCAAAACAATGGAACTTCGAAAAGCACCCAGTAGAATCCAAAAAAGTTAATTGCAATTTGAATTCTGCTGCTGTTTCTGTTTTGTGCAGAAGCAAGTGCAGGCAGTATCCCACTATGAAACCCATAGCACCACCTAAAATGTTGAACAAAAAAGAGTAGAAGATGGTATTCTCCTTTTCAAATGATATTCACACAAAAGAAATGGTTTGCTTAAATTAGCCAGCCATTGAATTTATACATGTACTCGATTGCAAGTTTACATGAACCAATCTTGTCAGCCTTCTTGTCCGGAATTTCCAGCTTGAACTCCTTTCAAAGCCATTACAATCTCCGCATTGTCAAGCTGTACGACCTCGAATCTTTCTGGGAATGTACATCAGGTGCCACCGGTAAGTGATTGGAAAACATGTTTCAATTCACAATGACTCAATTTTCAGGAATAAGTTATCAACTACTACTACATGATAGAAACATTTGATGTCTGCACTGACTATGAGAAAGAGCAGTGTGTAGGGAGAAAATAGCATAAAGGTCCATATACGACCTTCCAGGTGAAATAAACCAACAAAAATCCAATTCCTAAGAAGGCTTCGATTGAGTACTCGATTATCATAAGCCTGCCTGTGCCAGCATAAAAGGCAAAAGCTCCACCAAAGTTGGTTTTTGAAATCATTTCATTGTTCTCATTAAGATGCATAACAGAACCATAAATCCCAAAAACTTTAGCACCCATCCTAAGAAAGTAATTTAGAAACCAGAATGTAATATCAGTTGCATATGCAATCCATAAAACAACCTGGGTGAACAAATGGATAATCAACAGAAAGGAAAGCCCTATTTTTATTATTCTTAATTTCCGAGAAATCCAAACAAACGCATCGAATCGATCACAAATATCACATTGGATTTTGGAAGAAATGATTTTAAAGTACAATTGATTCCTAAATCAATCAATTCCGAGGAAGAATAACCTTAAAAAGTCATTTATTTTCTCAGCTCACAACGAACTAAATAAGTCGAGGATTTGTTGAAAACCCAAAGAGAGGAAATAGTGAAGTGGAAGCGAGATGGAAGGATCGATTTTGGGGAAGCTTTTAACGACGTCCAAAACTCTTTCGACTACTTCTTCTTTGGTTAGGTTATTGTCGTGAGAAGAAAATAATCGGTGAGAAGGGCGGAGACTCCATTGGGGCAGAGGATTTGAACCGGTATCGGTGAGGGATTGGACGGGTATCGGAATGCGGCGGAGTACGGCTGTCCTCAGTGTCAGTTCTCTTTTCCTTCCTCTCGGTGCAAAAATCAGTTGGAGGCCAACTAAAATCAAGGCAACGAGAAGATCACGTGCTTCGCTCGTGCTTCTTTGACTCCACCACAATGAGTTAACTCGGGGTTAATTAAAGTTGAACCTAATGTTGTAAAAGCCGGATTTGAGAGTTGAACCAGTCAGATCCCTGATTTTCGATTCAATTGATCAGTTTACTCTTTAATCACCCAAAAAGTAAATAATAAGAAAGAGCTAGGGATCTCGATCTCAATCTTGTTCTCTCCGGCGACAACCTCGGATTGTTTCCGGTGAGATCCCGACCCGATTCGATCCATAGAATCTTACAGACCCTGACCCCAATATCCATGGCTCCCGTTTCAGCTCTAGCCAAATACAAGTTGGTTTTCTTAGGGGATCAGTCTGTTGGGAAAACCAGTATCATCACTGGCTTCATGTTCGATAAATTCGATAACACCTACCAGGTATTTACTTTTATTGGTATACCGTCCGATCTTCTTTACTGCCAATTTCACGGATCTGCTCTTTATTCCTAAATTTATTAACAGCTTGGTCGTATTCCTTCTCCTGTTTTATTGATGTTACTTGATCGTGATTCAGATTTCGTTTAATTTTCTTAAGTTTTTTGGTTTTCTTTTGTGATTATTTTTTGCTCCGATTTTTGAGGATACTTTTGTCTCTAATTTGTTGACCAGGCTACTTCCTATCCAAAACAATGTATCTCGAGGATCGAACTGTTCGATTGCAGCTATGGTAAGACGTTAATTGTCGCTGTTTATTTTAAGCTACTGTTTTGTCAACGTTTATGGAATATACAGCCTTTGGATTGCTATTTTGTACCCAATTCAAATTCTTCTTCTTTTAGCTTGTATATTTGGAGTTCTCTTCCTAGCCTTGCTTTCTTATGCAGTTGGTGGATTCTTGGTCGAAAATTCATATTGCTATATTCATATTCATCCAGTTATTCATATCAATCACATTCCTGAAATTTTGGATTGTCTCATTAGGCTTGCATATATTGGAAATTCTGGTTTTATTTGTTGATTGTATAGTTTTCTGATGGGTTTATTGGCACCAGTAATACCTATAGCTGTTGGAGTATGATATAAGTAATAGCATCCTTACCAAGGATTGAATAAAGGGTATGGATATGATGATGAAGCTCTTTCTGTTGTATGTTTGTTACTTATATTGGTCATAACATGCATTTTTTCTTTTCAAAAGTATTGACAAGTGCGGCATCTTTGATCTTTATATGCTTTAATATTTATGACAGGGATACTGCAGGACAGTAAAGGTTCAGGAGTCTTATTCCAAGTTACATTAGGGATTCCTCCGTGGCTGTTATTGTCTATGATGTTGCAAGTATGTCACCAGTTTCACTCTGTACTCCTGCTTTTTAATCTTTCTATCTCATTTGTTTGCTTGTTCAGATATGTTTTATGCATGTTTATATGGGCAGTATGTTTCCAATTTGTGAAATGCAATCTTGCATATTCGTTTTCCTACTTTATTTGTTATTCATTTGCTTAGTAAAAACGGCTGAAGCTTAGCAAAATTAAGATACATTAATTAGGAGAAATCAAATAGCAGCACGTCCAGAAGCTGGGTATCACTTCAAATAAATTTAATATTGTCGTTTCCTTTGTGACAAAATGAAAAGGGAAACTTCTCTTTTCGTCACTCAAATTTAACTTTACTCTCGTTTTGGTACTTTTTTTAAAAATGATTTGACCATTGAATTTTTGAATTGTTACTGTTTTGGTTATTTTAGCGTTAAGTCAAATACAGAAGGGTGACATGGCCTATTCTTGTTGGCATGGCCATCATGTGTAATCCACTTCATTTTCTCCCCTCTTTTATTATTGCATCTTCTTCTCTCAAAGATGGATTTTTTTTATAGTTTCACGCTTATGTCACATTGGTATCAAAATCGTTATTCTCTTATATCTTCTCCGATCATTCAAGACATCATCTCACCGTCTCCTACTGCTCTATCAATTTATATTTTCTTAAAATCTCTTTAAAATCTCTCAGAAATTGTTAGTCTCACATTCTCTACTTCCTCAGCTTTGAGATTCAAGAAAAGATATTCTATCATCGAGAAACTAAAGAAAATTCAGAATTGGGATTTTTTTACGAAAGTAAAGTTTTAGAGAAATTTCGTAGTTTTTAAAATATAGATAATTATAATGTTGTTAAGTGTTCAAAGATATAGTGACTAAAACAGGAATATTGTGGGAGTTTAATGATTAAATTAAAAAAATAAAATTTAATGACTAAAATAGGAATAAGATTAAAATGGAGTTACGAAATGTTGTAGTTTAACCAAAATAAAATTAATGTCAGAACAAAAGCTGCAATCAGGAAGTTTTAACTTCCACTTTCCTTACAATAAAATTACTACATTGTTTCGTTGCAGGGGCGGTGGGAACAAGCCACTTCCCAAAGGAAAGATCTTCTTTCCTTTTCATTCTTTCACAGAGCCCTGTTGCACCTTCTTGCTTCGATTCAACGATCCAACCTTCGCACCATGAACGGTAAGCCCTTCCTTTCTATTCTCCCGCGTTTTTATTTATTGGATTATCCTCTGAATCGAAAAATGAATTTGTTAACATCACTCTAATTCCCCTTCTTTGCCCCCCCTTGTTTGAGGGTGGTTGTTCATGAAGACGCGAGATATGTTACTAGGTTTCTTTTCTGTTGATACGCAATTGTATGATTCCTTAACACTGAAGTTTCTTTATCATTCAATTTGGAATATGGCACCTAAAACACAGTTGTTTTGTGAACATCTGCTTAATTTTAATCCAAATACCGGTATATATGCTTAACAAATCAATTAATCTCCTTTTCCCACTAATAACGTAGGCAGTTACTCTTTGGAAATACAGATTTTTGCTTTTACTTCTATGTTTGCTTACTGTTGTTCTCTAAATTCTTATTGAAGTTGGGTGATATAATCCAGGGAGGATTTTTGAATTTTCGTAATTTTTAAGATATTTATGTTTGGGAAGGTTTTTTTTTTTGTGATTAAAATTTTCTATTGATGTTTTCAATTATAGAAAGTTATTAGATAAGATTGTTTGTTTACACTTTTGAGTTATACTCAATTACCAGATGATCAAGTACCGTTTCTGATCATGGACTAAAGTTTAATGGATCAATCACCATTTATTAAGCTCGGGCGCTGGCATTGGTGGCTTATGGTGCCAATCAACATTTTGTTCCTTATTGTAGGCCAAGCTGCTGCATTTCTTCTGGGTAGATTTTATTATGATCAAGGTGGATATAGTGACTGGATGGCAACTCTTGTGCAAACTGCTGGATTTCCAATCCTTTTCATCCCTTTGTTTCTTCTTCATCCATCTCTGAAACTGGAGACTTCGACTTCTTCTTCTATCTTGCCTTCCATCAAAGTTGTTGCTTTGCTCTTGGATTAGTTGCAGCCGGTGACAATATGTTGTACTCTGTTGGGCTGTTGTATCTGTCAGCCTCTACCTATTCCCTCATTTGTGCCTCTCAGTTAGCTTTCAATGTCGTTTTTTCGTACTTTCTTAATTCGGAGAAGATGACTGCTTTAATTCTCAACTCTGTGGTTATCCTCTCGTTGTCCGCTGCTCTGATTGCGGTGAACGACGATTCGCAAGTACTGTCGGGAGTTTCCAAGGGGAAGTATCTCCTATGCTTCGTATGGAGCTTCTGCTGTTTACTCCCTTTCACTCTCCCTTATGCAACTTTCGTTTCAGAAGGTGTTGAATAGGGAAACATTCAGTGTGGTTTTGGAAATGCAGATTTAAGTGTCGTTTCTGGCGACTTGTGTTTCAATCGTGGGCTTGTTTGCGAGTGGGGAATGGAAGGGATTGCCGGAAGAGATGGAGGGCTTCAACAGCGGAAGAGTTTCGTATGTGCTGACTCTGGTTTGGACGGACGTAAGTTGGCAGGTATGTGCTGTTGGTGTGGTGGGGTTGGTTTTTGCGGTGTCGTTGCTATTCTCCAACGTGAAAAGTACTCTGTCATTGGCGATTACACATTTAGTTTCTCTGGTAGTTTTTCATGACAAGATGAATGGGGTGAAGGTAATTGCCATGCTACTTGCACTATGTGGTTTTGCTCTTATATTTACCAAAATTATCTAGATGATGCAGAGGCAAGGAAAATGGGATCAAAACCACATACTGATGATATCGAGGAAAGCCATCATGCATACATATGATATCGAGGAAAGCCATCATGCATACATCTGAGTGTCATGGAACATGAATTTGATAGTCTTTTTGTCGATTTCATTTTTTTTTATTTTTTAAATAGAGAAATGAAAAATAAAATATTGTAAATGTTACAAGTGAAGTGAAGTTGTTCTCTGTTTCCCCTTCAATCTCAAACATAATTTATTATCTATCAATTTATTGTACAGCGTAGCTTTAATTTATGGTAGATAATTACAAAATGAACTAACCATTGAATAAGAAGAGCACATGAGCAACCTACAAGTATAAAAATGCAAGAGTTGCGACTCACCTTAACCCTTCTCTGTTTTGTAGATGTATTACGTGCATTTTTAAAGCAGAGTATAAATTAATTTTTTTATTAAAAATACAACATTATTTGTTTTTCACCAAAGGTTCAACAGGATCTTATATATAATAAAATATTTTGTTTCTTAAAAATATTTTTCAAATATGCGAATAAGAAGACTTTATCGAAAATATGTGGCTGTAATAACCTTTAATCTTTTTCTCTAACTGATAGAACATATTTTTAGGGATATTATATTTTCGACTTTTTTTATCTATAAAAGATATATGTAATTTACGTGGAAAAACAAATTTAAACAGATTATTAAATTAATGGATATAATGTTGATTAAACCTTAAATAAAAAAGAAAAATAAATTGAGAGGAGATGGAAATAATAAAGGGTGGCGAAGGATGAAAAGCACACGGAGTACTAAATTCTATTTAATATACTAAACTATTACTCTGTACCATCCCATATGCAGAGGGCAACCCCACAAATTTGTAGGGTATGGTTAGGCGGGGTAATTTGGGAGCCAACCCTAAATCACAAATAATACCGTTGTTTATCAATAATATTGGATACAATTTAAGATGTATTGTATTTCTAAGAAGATGATTTATACTTATTTTGAAAAATATTTATAATAAAAAAAATAAAATTCATAGGTATAAATTATTTCATTATTTATAATATCAAATCAATTAAATTCGATTAATTTTAAATAAACTTATATTAAAAATATTATGACAGTAATGGAAATAATACTGTGTTTATGGTAATACCAACACTGTAGCATACATTTTTTCCATCGCATTTTACATGTTTTGATAGGTGGCTCAAATGTCAACGGTTATAGTTGACTTTGCCGAAATCAGCAATCTTCTTAGACCTATTCGCACAACACCCGCCGCAGTACCCAAGTGGGGCTTCATCGATGGCCTACCTTCGTTTGTATACGTCATGTCAGGCGCCAATCCGCTCTTTTGCTTCCACTGCCGGTTCGGACTCGCCCTCACCAGCGGGCTCAAGCAAAACGCCATTCCTGGTTTGTTCCTTGCCCCGTTCTCCCTCTCCTAGCCGTTGTCGGTGTCCTCTTCCACTGTGGCGAAACCTCCGGAGAGATTTCCGGTGGCAATCGGTCACACTCGGCCCCAGGGTTCAATTCGGTTGCAGGCGACATTCCTCGATCTGCGCATGATCTCGGATAACGATGGTCGAATTGGGTAAAATGCTCTACACGAGATGTCCTGGAAGATTGCTGTTTTTTTCTACCAGCTGCAAAAATCGCCGAGAACCAAGACGGGGATGACGACGACGACGAGGAGTATGGCTCATTGCACGATTCCGATATTTGTGAACCCTAGGATCCGAATTCAATTTATCGGATCTCGAGACGAACAGGCTCGAAAAGAGAGAGAACTTGTGTTTCTTCTTGAAAGCCACGGAGGCGGCATCGAAATCGGCGGTTGTTGTCGTGGTGAGACCCACCTGAGGAGAACTGTAGAATATCTGTGATGGATCCACCTTGCACCGTCATCGTCAGATTTCCACCGATTAACGTAAGGAGAACAGACCGAGGGAAAATCAACGGCGGTTGCTCATGCTTCCGACGATCCTGGGTCACGGCAGCGGCAGCGGCTCGCTCTAACCGAGTTTGGGAGGCGATGACGACAAGTAGACGCTCCCGTAGACAGGTGGCGCAGACGCCGACGCGGCTACTTAAGTCGGTATGATGCTTCTTACACCTCATGTATAAGGAAAAGAAAAAATGAAAACTTTGTTGGGTGGTGGAGGTGTAGAAAAGGTAATGCTTGAAATGAGTCCACGCTCAACTCATTATCCTAAGTTGATACCTTCCACTTTTAAATCTCCATAACGGTTTCTTTATTACCAATTTTACACAAAACACAACCTTTTTCTCTATCACCAAACCACTCATTTGTTTATTTAATATTTTTAAATTAAAATAAAATATTTGAAAAATGTTAAATCATTTTCTGTCTTGTCCTTTTTAGCATTTAGTCTAA